GCAGCACCCACGCTCCCCTTTGCTGCCCTTGCTGATGACACAGCACGGCCTCAGCACAGCCCTGCACCTGCCTCAGCTCCTCCACAGCCTTCGGACACCTCTCCAGTTCGCCGTGCACTCAAAGCCCATGAAAGGCGGCCTCACCTTTGTGGGTGCTCCTGTGGCCAYGTTGCCCAGGCCCCTCATGGCCATTTGTCGCACGGCACTGACAGGGTCGCACGACCTCTCCACCAGTGCCTCTAGGAGGGGCTTCAGGAATTTCCTCTGCTTCGCAACCTTGTCCTTCATCAGCTGCAATCAAGATGTGACTGTTAGCATCGAGCACCACTCACCCTGGGTGAGACACAGGAACCCTGCGAGCCCCCTCGTCCCACTGCTGCCTCACCTCGGCAAAGAAAGCTGTGCCTGTGAGCCGTAGCTTTGCCGAGTGGGAATCCAGCCACCTGAAGAGCCGCTGCACCAGGCGCTGCGGGACCTGCTCTGCGCGGAGCAGCACACTGCGCACAGAGCACCGACAGGCTTGTAACGCCTGCTCGCACAGCACAGCCCTGGGCCACCGCTCCCAGCTTTTCGGCAGAGCTTGGGGCCATCCCCAAGCTCCCGGCAGGCCCGGGCACAGCCCCTGCAACGCGCTCTCACCTCGCCAGAAGACACATGCCGGCCGTGTGAGCCTGGGGCTCCAACAGGGACGCCCACGCTCCCTGCTCGCGCAGCCGCCGCAGCCACTGATTCCCCAGGCACTTGCCCAGCACCAGCTCCAAGGCTTCCACGAACACGCTGCAGAGAGAAGCCAAAGAAAGCTCCAGGCGCAGCACTTGGGGGGAAGCTTTCTCTTTAGCACAGCCCCACGATGCACCCCAGCCACAACACTCAGGTGAAGTGCGGAAACGGCCCAATGCCCAGCGTGCTGCCCTACAGAGACCAGTCCACCCTCCCCACGCAGGCAGCCCTGCACCAGGCCAATAGTCAGCTGCTCCTGCAAGGCCAAGGGCGGCACAAGACAGACTCTGCCCCTGCCCCTGCTCCTGCTACTCCTCACCTGACCGGTTCCTCATTCCTGCTCTGCTCTCAGAGGTACAATTCCATTTCCTCCCCCAGCCTCTCGCTGATCTGCTGCAGGAGGCTGGGGAGCAGCTGAGGAAGCAGGCGCTGAACCAGTGTGCCACTCCTCAGCACCGATACCACCTCACAGAGGGCACGAGTGATCTACACAGAAATTCAACCAAGARCCACCTGGTCAAACAAGACCCTTGCCCATCGACCATGTTCCCCTGACAGTCAGGGGGCTTTGACTCTCCAGTTCTCACTGCAGGGACAGCCTTACAGCCCGGCAGCAGCCAGCTCCCCCAGCTCCCCATGCTGCCAACACTGCTCCCACCCCATAAGGCTCAGCACCCCACAGGCTCCATGGGCCCCCACAAAGGGCACCAATCCCCCTCGCACTGAAGCACCACTCGGAAAGCACGTGCAAAGCGGCACTGCCGCCCTGGCTGCTGACCATACCATGCGAGGCTCCAGGGCAACCTGGCTGCTGCCCAGCTCCCCAGTGCAGCTCCCGGGGCTCTTTCCAGCTTCTTCTAACTTCTGCACTAAGCGCATCCGGACTGGGCAGCCCACAGCGCTTCTCCCCAGGCTCCTCCACACCTCTGCTGCGTTGCTGCAAAGGAACACATGCTAGCACGTGAGCCTGCATCCCTGGCTACCTCAGGAGAAGCCACACACTCCCCTGCTCTGCACAGGGACTGCTGAAGTCCAGGTCCTGACAGAAACACGAGCTGCAGCCCTCAGCCTTTCATGGGGCAAAAGCACTGGCTTCCGATAGGGACCCCACACAGGCATGCCTCGGGGCTGGATATGACGGCAGTGGGAAGGGTGAGTGCACAGACCTGTCCATGGGTCGCTGTGTCTCCAGGAGGCTGTCCAGCACTGCCTCTTGATGAGAGCGGGACAGAAGGAATACTGCCCGCAGGACCAGGCRCCTGGGAGTGCTCTGCTGGGTGCTGCGCAGGCACATGCACAGGATGGACACGACTTGCAGCACCTGAAAGGAGGTAGGCGAGAAAGAAAGGCTCACACTGTCTCCTTTCCCCATGGTTCCTCAGGGCCAACACACTACCACAGAGAACAGCCAAARGGAAACCTGAAAAATGSCCCTCTCACCTCCTCCCGCAGCATCTTCTCAACACAATCCTCCAGGAAGGTGAGTGTCCACCGAGCAGCAGCCCACATGCACATGGGCCTGGCACACAGCAGGCTCTCCACAATGCTGCTCATGAAGCCTGTGGCCTGGCCTCGGGGCACGTGCTTGCAGACAAGCTGGGGAGAAATGAGAAGCACAAGTGACCACGTCAGAGGAGTTGCTCAGATGCAAAACTTGTGTCCTGCAAGCAGCACACCCCCGCACACGTGCACACACACATATCATGGCCCCATGCTGCTCGTGCACAGCAGCGGTGATGGCCAGCACCTTGGCCCGTGGCCCGCGCATCTGAATGCCAGCCACAGCCGCCAGGAAACGGCGCAGGCTCTGCAAGGGAACGTGGGAGGGAGAGGGTGACCCCAGGGAAGGCGGATCAGGCATCGCTGCAGAAACCACAGCCCAAATGCACTGCCGGAGCTCCTCACACACCCGCAGCCCTGGGAGGCACCGCAGGGCCCCCAGCCAAAGCGCTGCCCCAGCCCCGCAGCGCTCCCTCCCAGCCCTGCCACCAGGCTGCTTGCTTCCAGCAAGAGCCCGCGAAGCCACAGGGCCCCCAGCCCTCATTCCCCTGCAAAGGGACTCGGCTCCCGCTGGCACCCTGCAACTCCCCCAACGCCTCTGCATGCAATGCCTCACCAAGGTCACCCCAAAGGGCTCTCGCACTTCTCGGTACTGGTGCAGGAGCCAGAGGAGCTGCTCCCAGGCATGCTGGCGATACTGGTCCATGTGCACGAGGACGGCCACCATGGCACCCACCGCCCTCAGCACAGCCTGCTTGACCTGTCGAGGGAAAGCAATAGACCGCCACAACCAGCGATGAGGGGCTGTCCGCCACTGGTCTCCCAACAAGACACCCACTCTGCTCTTCCCCCACGGGGACTCTCCCTTTCCTCTCAGCCTTGGCAAGAATAGCCCTTCTCGCATGCGCTTGGCCCAGGGCTGCTGCACACATGTCCCCTCCTGCCTCTCAGCACCACTCACAACCACGCGGCGCCTGGAGACTCCCGGATCAGGATGCTTTTGCAACCAGCCTGCTCCCTTCCAGTTCTCGCCCAGCCCCATGCTCAGCCCCGCTAGCCCCTGTGCTTGTCCCTGCTGCAGCCCATGGCCACGAGAGCAGCAAGGCTCAGCTCTTTGTCCTTACACCTCTGCCAGGTCTTGCCCACATAGCAGAGGAGCGGGTAAACAGCGGCGCAGAGCTGGGCGGCCTCCAGGCAAGGGCAGGCCCATGTCTCCTACTCATGCAGGTACTCGCCTATCCTGCTGCACCACTGCTCCAGAACTGCAGCACAAGAAGGGAAAGAGCATCGCTTCCAAATCTTTGACCAGCACCACACCTTGTGCTGGCCCCAAGGCTGCAGCAATGCAGCCTTGCAAGGATGGTACGGAGAAGTGGCTTCAGGGACACCTTGTGCCACGGCACGAGATGGCTACAGGGACACACTGCCTTGCTGCTCCCTTCTTCCAGCCCTGCAAACCTTCTCCTCCCCAAAGCTCAGCTCCCCTCCATCCCTGCCCACTGCAGCCCCGAACTCTTCCTTCCCCCAGCATTTGCCCCTCAGCCCAAGCTCAGCCCTTTTATCACTTCTTTCCTGAGCTCTGCCTTAAAGACCACAAACAGCAAAGCTGTCTGCCATGGACGAAAAGGAGGAGAAGGAGGAGCAGCTCCTCCTCAGAAGGAGCTGTGACCAAACTGGTCACAGCTTGGACAAAGGCAGTTAAGACCAGGAGGCAAGCATGGCAGCAGAGGCCAGGCAGGGACCCAGGAGTTGCTCCCACCAGCTGCACCCAGTGCGGTCTGCTTTGGCCACAGACACACTGGCAGCACCACCACAGCACCCACACTCACCGTCACAGACAAGACGCAGA